AGTGAAACAAGGAATAAGGAAAGGATTCTTAGAATAACGAAAAATTTCAATTTTTATAATATTGTCAGTTTTATAAATATTATGAAGTAAATATAATACAATAGATAACAGAATAATTCTAGTTATCTCTGGGACTAGTCTGTTGTAAAGTAGAATAGCATCAGATAGTGTTTATTCTTGTGTGATTCACATCTTTATTGTTCCGGAGTTTGGCTGCCATTAGAACGGACCTCGTCACAGCCTTAGGGTACATTCTATGTGTTCATGTTATCCGGTTAGTTGGCCATCAATTGAATTGCTGACTAATTGTAAATTTGATTGGGGCAACCGGCTGCAACGCCAGACCAGTTTCAATGTAATATCTGATGCAGTCTTCGATTACACCTGGAAGTTTTGTTCAATACTGAATCCGATCATATTCCGCTTTTAACAGAGGCGGTTACAATTAAACGTCGCCCTTCAATTTTTACGATCACCATCTGGTTTGAAATTTGTTGTTTTATTCACTAACGAAAGTGATAAAATTGTGGCGCAAACAGAAACAGGTGTTTAAATAAGATTGTTGAACAAATAGTTTTTTATTTGAAAATTCAATTTTCAGAGAAAATAACTTCTATAAAATACAAATGTCTGTTATTAATAAATGTTTGTGAGTAATTACCCATTCAACCAGGCATTACAAAAGTTTCATTTTGCAGATACAAAGCGAGCAATATATTTTCTGTTATTTTCACGAAATGAAAATGCAGCAGATTTTTATTATGTATTGTTTTAATTACACTCTATTTTGAATTTAAAATAATAATAAATGAGAATATATAATTCTGTTCTCTTTTGGGAAAATAAAAATTCTGTAATCTACAGTCTATTATAATTCCATACTAACTTTTATAAGCAGCAAATTGTATGACCCTAACCAAATTAATCTAAAACAGTATTCTCTCAAGACAAATTCGCTTAGACTCACTTATAATCATGTAGCTATTATCATCAATTATTCTAGTAAACTGTAAATAACTCAAATTTCATTTCTATCAATAGAAAAACAAAAGATACCAACTAATTTATACAAAAAAACAGAACATATTGAAACAATAGTTGTATCATGTCCTCTATCCTCTATAATCACATCTCCAGCTCCATACTACCATAGTTATAGAAAGGGAATACTGTTTTCACATTAGAAATGAATAATTCAGCTCCATACTGAAAATAAATACCCATAAAACAATTACTATCAATCTTACTTACACTTAAATTTATAGAAAAGATTTCAAAACCAATTTAATATGATATTTTCACAATATTCCTCTTCACACCAACAAAATTTCATAGCAACAACTATTTTAAATTTTCAACAGTTTACAAAACATTTCTCCCTTTCCAATGAAATGGGACACTTTACAGAAGTACCACTTGGCTGCTGACAAGATAGACAAAGAAGGTTTGCCTTTGCTTTGAATAAGATTTAAAAGCAAACCCAATAACAATCCTCAGATTAACGTTTGCGCCACAACGTTTGTCACATTCAGTGTCTCTATACTCCTTTGCGATTACCTGTAGCGAATTTTAGAGTACTACTTTTCTCACCCCGTAGTGTATCGATTTAGAAAGACGACGCTCCTTAGAAGTACATACTCCCCCGTTAGTTGAACCTTCGCGTAATCGGCTCGCCGTCGAGCCTCGGTACCGCGACCGACACACGTTTCATGTCTGGATTAAATTAGCAACACACGACACCGAATGACAGTCTAATGATCGACGTACTTTCACAGGAGTACCGTATCGATCGTAATTTGTCGCGGTTCAAACACTTTACGAAGACGTCCGTGCGCGCACACATACGCAAACACACACGCACACGCACAAACTGTCGACATTATAAAGTGGCCTATGGCCACAACTCGATGATTAATGAGATTAGGTACGAGATCGACGTTCGTCGAGGACGGGAAGCATTGGCGATCGTCCCCGCTGCAATCGGCGGTGCGAAACAAAAGGAGTTAGTAGCATGGGCATGTGTGTCTGTCCGTCTGTCCGAAATGCAGCACGTTCACGTCGAATTCTGTAATATTATGTGTACATATATTTATATATATATTGTGTGTGTCTGTGAACGTATACTTATGTCTATATTTATTTGTCACTTTATCGAGATCGCGGTCTGCTTCAATGGGGCGATTGACAGAGCATGTTGGAGCAAACTGAAAAATTCTAATATTAATAGTTGCTGTTCGAGTTAATACAGTAATATATGGATATTATATATGTATAAATATATAAAAAGAGACAATTTTATAAAATTCAAAAGATACTTTTTATTCGAGGACTTTATATTGAAATCTTAGAATAATTGATTTTATTAGTTAGTAAAAGTTCATATTTATGTGTAAGTAATCTATGTCATTGTATATTCATTGCATACATTCTATTATAATTTCATTATAATTAAAATTATTCTTTATAATTGAAATTATTTGGTTAACGTATTCTACTATGACCAAAGCCTTACATAATTCGCTGTTTCCGTTATTCATTAAAGATAAGGACACTCGAGAAAGTTTCCTCAAACACAGCGCGTATTATTGACATATAAATTCTTGAGTGTAAGGGTTGCTCCTTCAGTTTATTATTCTCCCTTGTTCTCTGAAGTTACTGCGCTGAACCAGACCGTACTCGTACGAATGTAATCCACCTACCCACACAACTCACGCCGAGCTTCTGCACGCTTTCGAGGTGGCTGCCAAGAAACGTGACCTCTGAGTGCTCAGTTCGATGGTTGTTACACTGTTAGATGTGCATGAACCTACCGGTACGATCGTTCGATAATAAAAGTGGTAAATGTACCTAAGTGTGATCGGTGTTATCATTCTTTAAATAATCTCGATTATCTGAATGTAAAATATTCAAATTTAATTTTTCTTAGTTTGTTCGGAACGTACATTTGGTGTTTCGTAAAACGGTTCCCCTGTGTTCTAAGAGAATGAAAATATTTTTGCTATGATGTAAGAAAAACGAAATTAAGGATAACAGCTGATAAGTATAATATAAATTAACGTACAAAGAAAGAATATAAATATTTAATTAGATCTGTACGAAGTTAATAATACAAAAAGTTTTTTGGTATTCAGTGTCGCGTACGTGGATACCATTTAATTTGCTGAATTCTTTCGTGCTAACGTATAAAAAAAAGTAAATGTAATTTACACCGGATGGTATGGCCTGTTTTCCGTTATCCAAGAATACGAGCACAAAGTAGATAATTAAACGGTGGAAATGTTTTTAGGGTATATTTAAAGATAGAAAGCGTATAAAATTCTCGAAAAGCAAACAAACTGGTTCAGCAATGTTCTCAAATGATATTTTAAAATTAAACTACAGTGCTTTTAAAATTACGTAAACGTTTGTAAGATTCCTTTGATAGGAAGTTCATATAATCATTGAATTATTTTTTGAATATTTGCCTTGAACAAACTGTTATGTAACGTCGATTTAACGTTCGAAGTAGCACACATAGGTATCCATTGCAATTAGTATCCATTCCAAAGTAGTACAATTAAAGAGATTTGAGTAGTAGAATCATAATTTTACATTTCCATTTAATTTTTAACCCTTCGCCCTAATATCGTATCTGAGTCGAACAAAATTTTAAATCGAATTTGCACAAATCCAAATGTTATTTGCTTTTTTTTTAATACAAATTGAACGTATCAAACATTTTTTATTAAATAAATGATTAACGATAAAGTAGTTTTATCAGACGTAACTGAAAAATAAAATCATGGGACAAGGGAAATTAAAAAAAAATCTGTCCTTACTTATTGGACGTCGATCCCTCCAACAGCTTGGACTATTTTCGAATTGGTCAAACTAATTTGCAGATATCCTATGTAATTCTCTATAGACCAGATTCACTGATAGTATTCTATAACACGTATTTGTGTAAGGTCCACGCAGTTCTGCGGGTTTGCGCGTATAGCACCAGTAAAAGTTCCCGTTGGTTCGCGATGGGTGCGGCCCAGTTTCGAAACTCGTAACCCTCATCCGATCATCCGAACAGTTCCCAAACGAATCAAGCCCACGGAATGGATCGTAACGTGCTTTAACGCCACGATTCTTAAACACTCCCTCCAGTTCTCGCTGACGCTTCTAGTAATCTACATCAGTTTCACAATTTTCTTGAGGTTTCAGTGCTTCTGCTTCGACAGCCCGTTACTTCGAACGGTATCAATTTTGGAACGTGATACAAGGAACATTACTGAATGAAAGAAAAACATTGTAGAGTTGAAGTAGATTTAAAATTCTATGGGATTAATATTAATAACAGATTTTTTTTTGAAGCTCATTTCCCTTATTTAACACTAGATTTACGGAGTGCGTCAATTTGACGCGTATTGAATTTTGTAAACACTACTTAGCATGTGTTTACATCGACTTTAATTGATGGAATTATACTAGTATGTGCTTCAATTATCGATGTTTAAACCTCTAACTTCCAAGATCCAAATGAACGAACAAGAATTTTTCATTTGAATTTAATTAATTATAACTCAAATTATGTCCACTACAATTCATCAGGTTACAATCTATTTTTCATAAAATAAATAAATGGGTTAAGATGTCATTTTCCGTAATTAGTATGTGGATGATGATAACCTCGGAATGCTACATAGTTTCAAATTATTTGAAGAATTAAGAAAAAAATATAAAATAGGATTATGTAATTAAATTGAAAGTCGGTACGCTTTATATTCGTTTGCTTGGATACGGCAACAGGTTGCGTTTTTCGTAAAAATTTGATAAAATATTGAATAATTTGTTGAATGCTTCGATTTTCCCGGTAAGTATAGGAACAGAGAAACTGTGTATACAACAAAGGAGGAACTGAATATTGGAATATAATTATAACAGAAATTCTATACTGCTTTGAGCGCGTCACGCGACAGGCAAATAGACGTAGGGTAATTAACTAACCATCGATTCTCGCATAACTTCCGCAGTAAAATCCGCCCAGGGACTGATCGCCAAAGACAAGAGCGGCACGTCTGATCCTTACGTGACTGTCCAAGTCGGGAAAGTGAAGAAGCGAACCAGAACGATGCCGAGGGAATTGAATCCGGTTTGGCACGAGAAGTTCTACTTGTGAGTAATTCTATTATCATGCTGCGAACCCGAGGAATACGTACCTTCGCAGCAATGGAGGTGGAAACTGTCGAAAGGAAAATTAATTTCCATTTTACGTGTATCGTGATTGCCAACACACCTGCGCGACGTTGCAATCACGAGCATTACTAACGATTATATAAATTAATGAGAAAACGTAAATGGGAAACATTGAAACGAATATTCCAGAGATGCGATAATAGAGATCATATAAATACTGATTACTAAAGTTTAAACCTAAGTTAATGATAAGACTGAGAAACTAACAGTTCATTCCAGAATGAACCGTATGCTTCAGGTATAAACGTAGTCGGTTAATTAATTTGAAACATATACGTAGTAACGTATTACACAAGCAGTAGTGAAATTAATTACGAAACTTCTGGACACATGTTAGAAGTAAATAAAGTGCGCTGCAAGTGTGAATATTGATATCAACAATTTTCATGTTTTTTGGAGCAAGTAAAAATGTCTCTGGATTCATTTTTACAATGATGGAATTAAGCTTATAGAAAGATTGAAGATGGTAATAGTAACCAATGGAAATTATATAATAGATTAAGTCAGCAATAATATTTGAAAAACTCTTCTGTTTATTTCTTACAAAGAAAACGTCAAAACTGTAAGAAAACATTATTTCTAAAAAAAGTTTCTGAAATAAATAAATTGTTTAATCTGTTTAAGATTAATACGTTACTAAAATTGACGAAATGTAGGGTTAACAAATAAAGGAAAAATGTTATCTTTTGTCAAAACAATGCTAACCGACAGCAACATGCATTTTATTTTTATTTTTTTTATTTTCACTATATTTTACTCCTAATTTTATCTTGTTACTCTCTTTTTTGTTATTGTTATTTTTATCAATTTGATTTACTTACATATTTTATTTCATTTATCTTAACGATTTGTCTTTATGCCTTGACCCTATTATCTTACTATCCATAGTTACTCTCGTATGTAATGTTTTTATCTTGTTAGCCGTGTTTAGATATTTAGCTATTTATTCATTGTTATAGGAGTACATATTGTCATATTTGAATTTTATTTTCATACCATACGATAACGAGATTCCCCTTTGTCCGCAGCGAGTGTCACAATTCGTCCGACAGAATAAAAGTGAGAGTCTGGGATGAGGACAACGATCTGAAGTCGAAGCTACGACAAAAGTTGACGCGAGAGAGCGACGACTTCCTCGGGCAGACCATCATCGAAGTGAGAACGCTCAGCGGCGAGATGGACGTCTGGTACAATCTGGAGAAAAGAACAGACAAGAGTGCAGTGTCCGGCGCTATCAGGCTGCACATCAGCGTCGAGATCAAAGGAGAAGAGAAGGTCGCGCCTTATCATACCCAGTACACCTGCCTACACGAAAATCTCTTCCATAGTCTATGCGAGAAGAATGACGGTGTCGTCGCACTGCCTCAAGCGAAAGGTGACGACGCTTGGAAGGTGTACTTCGATCCACCCGGAGAAGAACTTGTCGACGAGTTCGCAATGCGATACGGTATCGAGAGTATCTATCAAGCAATGACGTGAGTAAATTTCATGGATTCATTTTAAACACTTGCGACGGTTTAAGATTGTTTTTAGATCATTTAAATCATTAGAATAATGGTTTAAGTCGCTATATTTAAAAGAACTATTTCTTGATATTAAAATTATAGCTATAGAAAAATATATTTGAGGTACTGTTCGAAATATTAGATGTTACACAGTTCAAGCAATATTGAAGAATATTTGTTTAATATTGAACGACCTCAAAAACCTGTTGCAATAAATATATTTCATGTATTTTTGCAATTACCTATTATTCGCTTATTAGTTATTTTAACACGATAACAAACAAAGAATTAATGTTGATTTACAATGGAAGAAACATAATTCACTACAATTAATGACTAAATTAAAAAATGAACGTTTTTTGACAAAATTTTAAATACAATTTTACTTGTTCTACTTTTCTGTATTAATTCTCTTACGTATTTCATTGTAGTTCATGTAATTCAAATGTCCCCAATTACCATTTTGTTCTTCTTTCTCATGTTCTCAGGCACTTCCACTGCCTTTCGACGAAGTACCTCTGTCCAGGCGTGCCAGCGGTGATGTCGACCCTATTGGCGAACATAAACGCGTACTACGCTCACACGAGCGCGAGTTCCGCTGTTTCAGCTAGTGATAGATTCGCCGCCAGCAACTTCGGGGTGAGTTCGGTGTTCGAACATTGAAGACTGTGTTTATCCATGGGATATAAAAGAGATAGAGATAGATTGAATGAAAGAATAACGGGGGAACACTGCGATTGAGAAACGCTCCTATAATTCCCTAGTAGTCTAAACCAACCATTATTCCAACCGTGGCTTACGTTGATTGACTGAGAAACTTTAGAGCACGCGGACTCTAGCAGAGCTCTATCAATTTCATCTTGATATTGTCCATTAAGCTTGCAGTCCTCCTACCTTTTCTTCATTTTTTTCCTTCTCTATACAAAATTTTTTAAAGCTGCAAATTGAAAACACTGGACACAAGGTGGTCTCGTGCAACATACGATCTAATTAAAATCTTAATTAAGATTTTTTTCACCGTAATTAAATTACGTTGGTCCTAAGGGATGTCCAGACATAATCAGCAATGAATGCACGCTAACAATTGGACGAATTTAATTAAACAACAATTTTCTTTAATTTAACTTTCGATAGGTCTTCGCGTCTTGAGGGAAACGTTTTAATTTGGAGTCAGTGAAGAATCTGGACGATTTCAATTATACAAACGGTAATACTGGAAGCTCAAATTATGTAAGACAGAAAGTGGCTGTCCTAATGTAATTGTATAAATTTTACGAAAATGCTGTTTAGAGAGAACAAATTCTGATCCTGTTTTCAACGTTTCTGAATTATGCATGACTTCGACTTTCGAGAGTGGATTCGTTGAGCAGCTATAAAAAAAATAGCTGAGTTTGTTATCGACCGAAACAAGGTCAGACGGATCTTACAGCAGATAAATCTTCAGCCTTCACAAACAACTGTGTTGGGGGAGAAAGAGGAGATGGATAAAACATGAAACCAGATATTCTTGAAAAAAAGTAATTCTACATAGATCACTGAATCACGAAAATAAATTCTCGATAGCTTAAACACTTTTCATGCTGAGATAGAAAAACTATCAATATCTTTAATATCAGTCATGCTTCGAATGGGTTTAAACTTATTGCTAGTAAATATTATTTATTTCACATTTGTTTACTTATATTTTATGAAGAAAATATCTCGTGCTTTACGAACATTGATCCAAAGCCATTCTTACTAATAAAAAAGCTTTGCAGATAACGACAGCTTAATAAAACTGACATCCCCAGATAAATAAGGGAATACTCAACATTATCCTTATTGATGATATTGTCTGACTTGGTTCATACCATTCTTTATCGTAATTGACGAATATTTCCTCGGATCAGATGTTCCTTCATTTATTTGGATTTTCATTTTTCTCCCTGATCCCAACTATCTATATTTTTTTCCCCCAGAAGACTCTTAAAAACAGAAAATACTGTTACATCTTATACGATATCCCACTTTTCAACTAAATATTTGCTGAAATCTGTTACAGCTCTGTTACAGAGATGAAATGTGTCAATCACAATAAGAACGTCATTCTTTCTCGACAAATATTAAACATGATTATTTCAAACGTTGATTCCAAAATTGAACTTTAAAATTACAAAATTTCCAATATCGTACGTTATTTATTTGGCCTTTACTATTTCACAAATACTGCATTTCGAATCTTGACCCTAATTAATACTCTTTCCCTTTCTTAACATTCTTATTGATAATTCAAAATCGTTTTTATAACCCTGAAGACACTTCAGTTTTTACAATGCTGCAAAGTGGGTTGGCTGGTCATAGGCGCATTAACATGCAACCACTCGTTCCTACTATTTGAACATGATTCCACGTTATAGACATTACAATAAAATTTTACAACAGTTTTTAACTGTAAGCTTCTCTCTCCAAGAAATTCTGCTTTTAATTATATCAGATTACAGTACAAATACCGCGATCCAATATCGTACAAACTTCCAAATACGAATTCACCTTTATCTCTTAACTTCTTTTCCTAAATTCGTAACTTTCCCGCTGGTTCACCAGTGAGAAGCTCATTATTCTTCAGAAAATTCCCTGGCAGAATCGTTACAGAATTCTGGGTCGTTACCCTTCCCTTCGGCAACAAAATGGTACTCGAAAGAAGACGACCCAGCCAGCCGGTCTACCCGCTGGGTTGACGTTCCCACAATTCATGAAAACTCAATACACCAGCGCGATACATTTTCCCTCATTCATGGCCCATTTCCTCCGATTTTTCCAGAAAGAGAAGTTCGTGAAATTACTGGACCACCTGCACAACTCCCTGCGGATCGATTTGTCGATGTACAGGAATCACTTCCCGGCGTCAAGCCAGGAGAAACTGATGGATCTGAAGAGCACGGTCGACTTGTTAACCAGCATCACGTTCTTCCGGATGAAGGTCCAGGAGCTGTCCAGCCCGCCCAGAGCTAGCACCGTAGTCAAGGACTGCGTGAGGGCCTGTCTGCGCTCGACGTACCAGTTCCTCTTCGAGAATTGCTACGATATCTATAACAGAGAATTCCAGGCGAATCCGGGCGAGGCAAAGATGGGCGCGGAGGATCAGGGGCCCAGGTTGGATTCACTTGACTTCTGGCACAAACTGGTTGAGCTGATCGTCTCGGTGATCGAGGAGGACAAGAACAGCTACGCGCCTGTCCTGAATCAATTCCCACAGGAGTTGAATATCGGTCAATTGTCGGCGGCCACCATGTGGGCATTGTTCGCGGTGGACATGAAGTACGCGCTGGAGGAACACGAGCAGCACAGGCTCTGCAAGTCCTCGGCCTACATGAATCTCCACTTCAAGGTGAAATGGCTGCACACCAACTACGTGAAAGACGTGCCGCCCTACAAAGGAGCGGTGCCGGAGTATCCAGCGTGGTTCGAGCCGTTCGTCATGCAATGGCTGAACGAGAACGATGACGTCTCATTAGAATATCTCCATGGTGCCTTCAACAGAGACAAGAAGGAGGGAGTAAGTGTTATTCTGTGTTGGAAAAACTTTGAGACACGTCGGAAATATTATAACTGTAAAGTTATTGTTGTAACTAGAATTTATTATTTAAGCCTTAAATAGGGAGGATAGACTACAAAATCAAGGAATTTTGTTACTGATTTATACTAACGATGGATGACGATTTGCAGTTCCAACAGAGCAGCGAACACGCGCTGTTCAGCGTCTCCGTCGTCGACGTCTTCACGCAGTTAACCCAATGCTTCGACGTAGTCTCCAAACTAGAATGTCCCGACCCTGAGATCTGGAAGAGGTATATGAAGAGGTTCGCGAAGACTATCGTGAAAGTCTTGATCGCTTACTCTAACATCATGAAGACGGAATTTCCAAGTCATTTGAAGGAGGAACGAATCGTACGTAACGTGAACGCTAAAAGATGACAATTAAGATTTTTAAAAATTAAATAATCCTGTCATTAAGTCATTGACGCATAATTAACCCCTTGTCCTACAATATCGTGTCAGACTCGTAGTAAAGATTTCAAATAGAATTTTACAAACATAAATATTATTCGATTTGTTTGAATGCAAATTACATATTATTTCCCTGTTATCAATGATTATACCTTAGAGCATACATTGACATAGAATAAAACTGAAATAGTATCTTATTTTCAATAAATTATTAATGACAATGTAGTTAGGTCGATCATAGTTCATAGGGCAACAGATTAAGATGAGTATACTCTTTTACAGGCGTGTATCCTGATGAACAATATCCAGCAACTGCGAGTACAGCTAGAGAAGATGTTCGAGTCTATGGGTGGCGAGAAATTGGAAGAAGACGCGGCGAACATTTTGAAGGAACTCCAACAACAACTAAACGGATCACTCGACGACCTGGCAATGATGTTCGCGAAGAGTCTGGAGCCGAGGATAACGGCCTCGGTGAAGGAATTAGGGGACTTGTTACTAGCCATCAAGGGCGGTGGCCAAGTGCAACTGTCGCAACCCGCCCAGAGAAACAACGTCGCCGTGGAAGCAGATGAAGTACTGCGGCCATTGATGGTTCTTCTCGACGGAAGTTTGACACTATACGCCGAGTCTTGCGAGAAGACCGTGCTGAAAAGGTTACTGAAAGAACTCTGGAAAATTGTTATGAGAATATTAGAGAAGACGGTCGTGCTACCACCTATGTCGGATAAGAGCGTATGTATTTGATATTTTAGAAATAACGGCAGGCTTATTGCGGTGTGTGTATAATTATACGATGATTTTACAGATGATGTTCAAGAATCTGACGGATAACGCGAAGAATCTGGCTGCGAATGCCAAGATAGAGGACATGTCGAAGCTGTTTAAGAACCACATGGCTGGCAAACCAGACGTGAAGAATGCTTTGAGTGGCGTAATGGTGAGTAATTTGTTTAAGTATTATTGGATTAGACTTAATTAACGAAATTCTATAGAATTTCCAGTAAATAAAAATATTTACTCAGATTTCGTCATTTTAAGAACAAGTTCTCATAGAATTTCTTTATTCCGATACAACTATGCTTAGAACTGGACTGATTGTAAAAATTCTTCTGTATCACAGGATATTTCCAAGGAAGTAGAAAAGAATCTGTCTCCGAAACAATGCGCAGTTCTCGAGGTCGCGCTTGACACGATCAAACAATTCTTCCACGCAGGTGGAAACGGTTTGAAGAAGACGTTCTTGGAGAAATCGCCGGAACTCCAAAGCTTGAGATACGCTCTTAGCTTGTACACGCAGACAACGGACACCCTTATCAAAACTTTCGTAACGTCACAAATCAACCAAGGTAAGTTGATTCTAAAATAGAAATCTCTAACTATTTCCTTCATATCTGTATTTTTTTATATACTGGTAGGTAGGCAAAATTTTATGATGACCAACACAATTCGAAATCAAATGTTTAATATAAATTAGCGGTCAAATGCTTATATTTTATAACCACATTAACTACCATGAATTATTTATGCAGGTTTGAAATGGTATTCTTACAATTCTATGTCCTTCACACACTTACAAACCATTGTCAAATTCTAATCAAATCTGTCAGTCTATCTAAAATCTATAACAAACCTCTCGTTTCTACATAACAAATATTCGCTGCCGTATTCACTACAAAACATCATCGAAATTTCAACCAAATTACCTAAGAAAAATATCGAATGTATCACATTTCACTTTCGCTACGGACCTCTCTTCGTGTGAGACGCTCGTGATTCATTTTACCACACACATTAATTCGCTACCGAACACACTCCTCATATGAAATATGAGTGATCACGGTTTCATCGACGTCCATTCCTTTGACAAAAATCCAACCGACGTAACATGAATTGTCGCGACAGTGCCGCTGAACAATGTGTCAAAGCTACGTCAGCGTCAGCGTTCGATGAGCAGCGAGAGAGGCGGTGACGAAGGGGAAGGAGCCGAGGGTATGGAAAGCCTCGAGGAACCCCTTCGCCAGAGCAAACCCTCTCTTCGTCGAGAGAGTCGACAAGGTACCAGAGTGCACTACTCTTAGAGCAGAAACCTCGGAAAATTCTTGGCTGACTTTCGGTCATTTTCGACATCTAGGCGCTCGTTTAGGATGTAGTGGACTGTTCGTTATTGCATTATTCACCGAGGTGTCTCATAGGGACAACAAGCTCTTGATCATTATTTTATCCTCTTTTTCTTGGTTACCTAACACATACCATTCATTGCTCACATGACAAGACACACAGTATTTAATTTCCATTTCTTATTAACCAATTGACGCGTTGGCTGCCACTCAAAACCCTTTTCTGGTGACACGAACATGACCTCTAAGCTAAAATAACAATTCCACTCAGTCTCTCTTTTCTTCTGCTACAAAATGTACATATTATATCTAACGCACAATCATATAAAGTTGATTATTTCAAATTACTAGACACGATGAATCTTTCATGTGTTTACGTATACTCGTGTCGCCAAGTATTCAATTGAAAATAGTGCGTGGTGGCCATCGCTGAGATCCTTTCGGTGCTATGGCAGCTTACAAAAATTCCCTGGAACTATGTAGCGCGCGGAATAAACGCTTAAAGACTAAAAACTAATGCGTTCGAATTTTAGACGCTCGGCTCATAGCGCAAGCTAAGCTTTATAAACGCGTATCAAACTCAACAGGCTATTCAGAGTCGCAAAGGCATCTTGCCGGTGAGGACTGTCAAAATGAAGGCAAACTTTGGACTGCCCATTGGGTTCGGTCCGATGATAGTCATACAATCGAAAGGGTCAAATAACGTCCCAAATGTGATCGTCTCGGTGATCGATAGTTGTATTAGGTAGCGCTGCTGCTATCACTACCGCCGCTGTTATTGCTACTATGGAGAACCTAGCCAAATCACAGTGCGCATCCTTCAGACATCTTCTTCAAGGCTTTGATATATATATCTATATATATACACGTTACACGTACCCACACGGATATGGTCGAACTTTGTTCGACCCCATCACAGCCAGTTTAGCGTTCTACTGTACACAGCGGATACAGTGGAAGTATATACATTGTGCGTACACCAATACCATCCTTTACGGCGAAGCGTCGAACGAACATGCCTAAAGTTCAAACAGTACCTGGACATGTCAGGACCAGGGCAACCGCAGCACTGGACCCACATGCACTCATTGGACAATGACCGAGGCTCGTGGCAAGCTTGGTCAACAAACGACGAAGCTATAATTTCTGCCGATTTTGACATTTTTATGCACTCCATGGAAGATTTAGCAATCAAATACTTTATTGCTTTTGAACAGGATCGTTTTTAGTTTCGTAAATTGATCCAAGACTGCATCTTCTCCGCTGAGTACTCTTATAAGACAAAGTTCCATACAGCATACCGTTAGAGCATGTAATCTGCTCTAGACATAGAGATATAAGTATAGAATCTTAGCATCAGATCTTTGAATTCTAGCATCGAATAGAAGCGACCGAAGCTCTCTCTATCTTTCTATTCCGTAGCGCCTAGCATTCCCGATGAACGCGTGGTGGACACGTAAGGTCTGATTATTGTTTATGAAGTTCCAGATACCGCCGGATCGGAAGAAGGCTCCGTGGGGGAGGTCAGCATCCAGGTGGATCTGTTCACTCATCCTGGAACCGGCGAACAGAAGGTCACCGTAAAAGGTAATAAGATCATTTGTCGATTATTCTACTCCAATTTAAGCGAACTAACTCCGGTCAAAGTTAGAATAGACTAGCTGTCACTCTGCTTCATTCCATTTCTACAGTTCTGAATATTTTGAGTATAATAGTAATATATTTGGTACTTTTCATGGATAATGTTCATTGTAAATACAATTCTGTTCACAATTATTCGAACAATTTTAATAAGTAATGAACGATGTATAAGAAAGAAGGTAGAGAAAACAAAATAAATTCTCTCTCTAAATCGATTACACAATATTATTATTCCTAAATAAATCGTTCCAGTTGTCGCTGCGAACGATTTGAAGTGGCAGCTCGCCACGGGCATGTTCAGGCCGTACGTGGAGGTTAATCTAATCGGACCTCACCTTACCGGGAAGAAGAGGAAACAGTCGACGAAATCAAAGAGCAATAACTGGTCGCCGCAATTCAACGAGAGTTTCGATTTGTAAGTAATGAATCCAGCATTTAATATTTTTCCCGCTACATTAATTTATTAACCCTTTGCACTCGAGAGGCACCTTTCAGTCGCTATTTAATTCGTCCCAGCAAGATTAGAAAATTTAAAATTCAATATTAAATATTGTCTAATGTATCAACATATAGAGCATCTAAATAAAACAGATCTGCTTCTTAATTTATGCAAAACATACCTTTGTGTTACTTACTAAAAGTATCATTGACACTTCGTCATAAAACAATGAATACTTGTTGAGAAACATATTCTCGAGTGCGAAGGGTTAATATTCATCTATCTTATACATTCTACGATAAACGGCTAAACCTATTACATTCATTATCCAGCATGATCGGCAACGAGCAACAGCAACTCGACTTCTACGAACTGCACATTTGCGTGAAGGACTACTGTTTCGCCAGAGAAGACAGGCTGGTCGGCGTGGCGGTGATGCAGCTCAAGGATATTGTCGAGGAGGGTTCGTGCGCGTGCTGGTTATCGCTCGGTAAGCGCATACAGATGGATGAGACCGGCTGGACGATCCTGAGGATCCTCTCGCAGAGGAACAACGACGAGATTGCGAAGGAATTCGTAAAGCTGAAGAGCGACATCAGACAGGAGACGCCGTTGCCGAACCCCACCTGAGCTTCGGAGACCCAGCATTAAAGCCGACTGCGAAGCGAGTCCTTCGAGTTTGGAAAGAGCTCGGAGGTGTGAGTAAACGAAGGAGAGGAGCTATTGTCCACAGGGGAAGACCGGAGAAGCGTTCGGCCGTCGTTGCCGAGGACACGAAACCGAGAAGTATCGTCGTTGTCGTCGACGAGCAACAACACCGGGAGCGGCACACGCGATCGATAACAATCAGCGCGGAACACACGATGCCACGAGAAACAAAAAGATCGCCGATGATGAGTACGATCCGGCCGAGTCAAATATCGGTCCGGTTTTCCATTGATGGGAGGGAAACGCCATGCGAATACCTACCTCCCGACGTTTCCCGCGCAGCCAGCTTCCGGTCGAGCGTGTTTTTCTCTCTTTTTTACGAATCACAGAGCTTTAGTCCCGTCCCTAAAAAAAAAGAAAAGAAAGAACGAAGGAGTCGATTGAATCAAGAGGACGACGGATCCTTCGGGAAATCGTTCTCCTGAGATGTATCGTGTAAACGCGTTGAATATCAGATACCGAGAGTCTGAACGTTCGTCCATTGGGTAACAGCCGGACACAAATGAGAGAAGGACGCGATCTCTGCCGCCCCTTCAGACAACAGGAAGCGTGCAGAAGAGGGGAACTCGGGATTTTGGTGAAACACAGAAGAACACGCCGGACTCTTATTCGATTAAGTGCCGTGAAGGAGGTGGATAACGATACCTCAGGTATTGGAGAGTGTTCCGTATAGACGCGATACGTGAAAACAGTGCTGCCAGTACGCAATATATTTGGTAATATTCGTAATGTAAAAGAGGAAGAAAGGAAGGAGGAGAAAGAGGAGGAGTCGAATTAGGCGTAAAGGTGCGTCCAACGCGATTATACCTTGATATCCACGGATCCCGGCGGAACGCTAATGCGCGAGAGGAGGAAGAGGATCGGCAGCGGGGTCCGAGATAGCGAGAAACACGTTGGGAGGCCGACGACGCGAATCGGTCGTGTTTCGGTACCGAAAGCGGGAAAAAATCGCGTCGCGCAGCAACGAGGCGAATGTAAAACGCATAACTAATTAATTAATAGACCCTCGTGCAAGAGACGACGTTTTAGGCCGTTTGTTCAGAAAGACGAGTTTACTTGTAGATAAAACACGTGAGAAAAAAAAACACATTGTTGACGAAGAAGTTTTTTCTAATAACAAGTTTAAACGTAGCATTGCGTACGACCAATAGGCGCGCCGCGACGTCACTCGCGGCGGGCCGTTAGTAATAAATAGGCATTGTAATGTAAAATACGTTCTTATCGTAAGAATTTCAAAACAAGAGATCGTAAGAGTCTGATTGCTGTGGTGAATGGCGAACGAGGTCCGTTCGATGGCTTCGAGCACACTCCCGTGAGAATCATCCCCGATCCTATCCTTGATTACCCTCATGCCACGAGATGTCGTTCGATTACAGAAATTCTCCCGGCGTAAGAAACAAAAGAGAAGAAAGAAACGGAAACGAATGGAACACGTAGCGCTTCGATCATGCCCTCGATTTTCGGTTCGCGCGACAACATCGCGAAACAAAGAGCTCTGTCTTTGATCGTCGCCAGGTATCATGTCCCCGGGTCGGCGACCAAACATTTTCGAAATTAAAACTTTATATCGTCGTAGTTCTATAGTAGTTAAATATTCATAATAACTTCGACACTTTCCTGACGACCATTGCTTTTTGTGTGAGCGAGCAAAAACCAAATATATACACAGTGGAAGTGGAACGCAAGCTTCGAAAAAGAAAAACAACGGACGTTAATACTTCTCTGTCTATTTGCTTGGTACCTCATCGATATTACTCTTGTATATAGATCGAGGGCCGTTCTCCCGTGGACAAGATTCGTAAATTACGATCGAGAACGCTCTTGTACAACAACTCATTCCCTTTATCCTCTGTCCTAATCGGAAAATCGCAGGGATACGGAAATCGAGGGCGGTCACGGTAAAATGTCCTCTGATTCGTTGCAAAACGGAAACGGTCCCAGAGGGAAGCCCTTGCGTCGCGTCCAGTGTCGCTCGAAACATTTCAGTGATATTCGTCACTGTTCTAACCCCGAAGCCTCGACTGGACCTCCCGAGAAAACTTTCGAGAAATGGGGAAAAGGGAGAAACTAATAATAACACAATGATGCACGCGACTTTGAACCTAATGAATTTCATTCACCGGCCCCCGCGGCCCGGCCAGATATACAATTCCAGAGATTACATGATTATATCCAAAAAAGTTTCTACTTACGTAGTACGTCTAGATATACTTACGTATTGTGTATAGTGTCTAAACGCTGATCTAGCTGCG